AATATCTTTTCTTTTTAATATGTTTTTATTAATCAGAGAGGAAGGGAAAGGGAGAGAGAGAAACATCAATGACGAGAATCATTGATCAGCTGCCTCCTGCACACCCCGATTGGGGATTCAGGCTGAAACCTGGAAATTGACCTGCCTCCTGGTTCACAGATCCACACTCAAACTCGGAGCCACATGGACTGGGCTGAAATATCTTTTTTATCCCTTTACTTTCTATCTCTCTGATCTAAAATGGGTCTGTTGTAGGCAGCATATGTAGGGGTCTTATTTTATTCATTCAGTCACCCTATGTCCATTTACATTTACATTTATTTTTTTAAATATATTTTATTGATTTTGTACAGATAGGAAGGGAGAGAGAGATAGAGAGTTAGAAACATCGATGAGAGAGTCATCAATCAGCTGCCTCTTGCACACCCCTACTGGGAATATGCCCGCAACCAAGGTACATGCCCTTGACCGGAATCGAACCCGGGACCCTTCAGTCCCCAAGCTGACGCTCTATCTATTGAGCCAAACCGGTTTCGGCTTACATTTATTCTTGATAGGTATGTAGTTATTGTCATTTTTATGAATTGTGTTTGTGGTTCTCTTTTCCCCCCTCTTAATTCTGTTGCTCTGTTCTCTTATATGTTAATGACTTTGTGTAGTGTCATGTTTGGTTTGCTTTATCATTTGTTGTATAGTAGTATCTTGTAGATTTTGGTTTGTGATTATCATGTGCTTTATATATACACCAAACTATGTTTATAAGCAGTCTGTTTAAAACAATTTAAAAATTTTATTGATTTGAAAGAGAAAGAGAAAAATCATGCTTGATGTTTGTTGTTTGTTGTTGTTATGGGCATAATATTTCAAGTACCCCTTCCCCCCTGCGTACATAGCTATTATCGATACAATATTATTTTTGTAATAGGGGTACTTGAAATATTGTGCCCATAACAACAACATTCCTACCAGCAGTGCACGAGGATTCTTTTTTCTCCACATCCTCTCCAGCACTTGTCATTTGTTGACTTGTTGATGATAGCCATTCTGACAGGTGTGAGCTGGTACCTCATTGTCATTTTGATCTGTGTCTCTCAATTGATTAGTGACTTTGAGCATGTTTTCATATGTCTCTTAGTCTCTGTATGTCCTCTTTTGAAAGGTGTCTATTTAGGTCCTTTACTTGTTTTTTTTATCTGATTGTTTAATCATCTTTTTGTTAAGTTGTATGAGTTCCCTGTAAATTTTGGAGATTAAACCCTTATCTGAGATAATATTAGCAAATATGTTCTCCCATGCAGTGAGTTTTCTTGTTTTGTTGATAGTTTCTTTTGTGTGCAGAAGCTTTTTATTTTGATATAGTGCCATTTGTTTATCTTCTCCTTAATTTCCATTGCTGTAGGAGCTGTATTGATAAAGATATTGCTACAACATATGTCTGATATTTTGCTGCCTGTGGTTTCCTCTAAGATTTTTATAGTTTCCTGGCTTACATTTAAGTCTTTTATCCATTTTGGGTTTATTTTTATGTATGGTGTAAGTTGGTGGTCAAGTTTCATTTTTTTTGCATCTATCTGTCCAATTTTCCCAACACTATTTAATGAAGAGATGTCTTGACTCCATTGTATGATCATGCCTCCTTTGTCAAATATTATTGAGAATACTGGCTTGGGTCAATTTCTGAGTTCTCCGTTCTGTTCCATTGGTCTATGTCCTTGGACGTGCCAGTACCATGCAGTTTTGAGGACAGTGGCTTTGTAATACAGCTTGATGTCTGGTATTGAGACCCCTCCTATTTAGTTCTTTCTCAGGATTGCTGCAGCTATTCGTTGTTGTTTTTGTTGTTGTTTTTAATTCCATATGAATTTTTGGAGAGTTTGTTCTAAGTCTGTGGAATATGCCGTTGGTATTTTCAAGGGGATTGCATTGAATCTATAGATTGCTTTGGGTAGTATGGACATTCTAATGATGTTGATTCTACCAATCCATGTACACAGTATATTCTTCCATTTGTTTATGTCTACCTCTATCTTTTTTCAATATAGCCATTATTTCTTAAAATGGGTTTTCAATTCCTTGATCTCTCTCTTCTTCTGGTTTGCTTGATATTGTCCCCAGAGCTTCCTAAAATTTTGTGTGTGTTTTTTGTTTGTTTTTAATGTTCCAATTGGTGTTTTCTCAGCCTTGTCTTTCAAATCACTATTTGATCTTCTGCCACATCTGCTCTTCTGTTGATTCCTCTAATGTAGTCTTCCTTTCAGTTACTGTGTTTTACATTTCTGTCTGGTTCTTTTTTACTGTTTCTCTCTGTGTGTTGAGGTTCTCACGGAGTTCATCTGTTCTTCTCCGAGGCTCATTGAGCATCCTTATAACCAGTATCTGGTGGATTGTTTGTCTCATTTTGTTCAGTTCTTTTTCTGGCATTTTGTCCTATTCTTTCACTTGGGACATGTTTCTGTTTCCTCATTTTGGCTGAATCCGTGTGTGTTTGCATGTGCTGGTAGGTCTGCGGCGTCCCCCCGCCTCGGCGGGTGGCCCTGTGTCGTAGGTGTTCTCTGGGCCCACTGGTGCGGTCTCCCGGTCACCGGGCCTGGTGCTCCTGGAGTGGCCTTTGCGTGGCTTGTGCGTGCTCGCCTGCTTTAGTTGAGTCTTGGTTGCTGTACATCAGTGGGTGTGATTGACCCTCAAGCTGAGTCAGCTGCGAGGGCTGCCATGACTGCAGTGGGGAAGTCGGAGAGCTGGCTGCATGCTAGCCTGCTGTGGCCTGAAGCAAGCCGCTGGGGGGCGGGTTGTGCAGGCTCCGGGGAGGGCTCTGGTGCAGGCCACGGTCAGCCTCCAGCCCGGCCCCTGTGGGAGCTCCGGTGTGACCTGTGCTTGGCTGCGCTTGTGGGGCTTGAAGGTGCTGCGGAGGCTGTGCTGCAGGCCGAGCCGTGGGCCCTTTGTTGGACCACTGCCTGCTGAGGCCATCTGCCACGTGTGCCGTGCTTGTGGCCACTGAGTTCAAGTTAGTTCCAGGCCAGCCCAGCTGAGCTGTGCCAGGCGTGGGGACACCTGATGGGAGTTACAGTGCAAGGTGAGACTGGTTGCTGCTTGTGCTGAGTTTGGGGCCGTTCGGCACGGGAACAGTCAGTGATATTGCAGTAACGGGGTGTGGTGCCAGGCGGGTGCTGGCAATACCAGCTGAACCTGTGTAAAGTGCATAGTGGTCTGACCACTGCACTATACCCCCGAAACTAATCTAACACCGAGGGGGAAAGGGGGGGAGGCCAGCCATTGCTTGCTTGGCGTTTGTGGACCTTTGAGCATTTCAGGGAAGTCCACAGCGAGAGCGAGCCGAGCCAGCGCCTGTGTGACGGGCTGGGCGGCAGGAGTTGAGTGGGAGATCTCGGGAGTCAGCAGGTGGGGCAGGTAGCCAGGTGAGTGCACACAGATTTGGCCCTGCCTGTGCCGCAGGCTGAGGGCGGGGAGGGCTCAGCGAGGAGCGGTGGTCACACCTGCCAGCGCTTGTCCCCTCTCCCCCCAGCCCGCCCCCTGCAGCCAGTCGATTCAGGCTCTCCCCACGTGTTCCTGGGCTTTTTCCAGGTCTTTCCCCCGTGCCCCCTCCACCCCCCGCCCCGCACTGGAACCCAGGGCCAGTGAGTGAGCAGGGGAGTGTGTGCGTGGCCCCTCAAGAGAAGTTTCTAGGCCTCCAGTAGCCCTTGTCCACCTCAGACGCAGTCCCGCTGGTTTTTATAACCCGATGTTATGGGGACTTCCCTTCCCAGCATGGTGCTGGCCTGGGGAGCCAGAGTGGGCTGGGACTCCTCCTCCTCAGGGGCCCCCACTTCTTAGTGACCGACCGGGTGTGGGAGCCCGCCCCCTGTTGGTCTCGATGTGCACCTTATATCTTTAGTGATAGGACCTCTCACCATCGTCTGCACCTGGCTCCCAGACGGCTGCTCCATCATTAGCTGCGAATTGGATGTGCTTGTGAGAGGAGGCAAGGGCAGTGTTTACTTACTCTGCCGTCTTGATGCGAGTCTGAATCTTAATTTTGAACCTTTATTTCCCATTTGTCAAAAAAATTGGGGTGGATGGGACAATTTAGTTAAAATACCTGTGTGTTTTGTTCTTAAGCACTTTTACTGAGAAATGACTCACATACTATATAATTGATCCATTTAAAGTTTACAATTCAGTGGTTTTGAGAATAGTCACAGAGATATTCATCAGCTTTGTATAATTTTTACAAAAAAAATCCGTGTACCACATAACTGCCACCCTTTGCCCCTTACTGCATCTCAGCCCTCAGTACCAGCCTCTGTGTCTGCAGGTATGCCTGCTCCGGATATTTCATGTCAATGGAATCATATAACATATGGTTTAGGGTGACTGGCTTCTTTCACATGTTCATCCACATCACAGCATGTATCAGTACTTTATTTTGTGGCCTAATGATATTCCTTTGTCTAGATATACCGCCTCAGCAGCCTGGGCCCAGGCTTCTCAGAGAGTCTGAGCTGCACTAATTGTCCGTTCATTGGTCCTTGGACGTTTGGTTGTTTCATGACCAATGTGGCTATAAATATTTGCTTACAAGGTTTTGTGTGGACACACGTTTTCATTTCTTCTGGGTACATAGCTAGGAATGGAATTACAGAATCCTATGGGAAATCCCTGTTTTTGTCCCAGAGAAAGTGTGTGTGTGTGTGTGTGTGTGTGTGTGTGTGTGTGTGTGTGAACTAGAGGCTCAGTGCATGAGATCTTGCATGGGTGGGGTCCAGCCGGCCTGCCTGATGGATCGGGCTGGGGAGGGGTCATTTGGGGGTAAGGCCAAATGGGGGAGGTGCCGTGGGCGGTTGGACATTTTGCATATTAGCCTTTTATTATATAGGACATCATTTTACTGTTTTAGTTCAGAAAGAAAGCATTATCTTAGCACTAGAAGGAAGCAGATAGTTATAATTTATTCTAAAAATAACTATTTCATTACATTTATTAAAACTTGTGTGTAGCCTCCCAGGATGCTGTGTTCGCTGCTCCTGTGTGAATGCCTGTGGCTGGCAGCTGGCTTTGCTCACGATGACGACTGGATCGACCCCACGGACATGCTCAACTACGATGCCGCCTCCGGGACAATGAGGAAGTCGCAGGTGCGTGCCAGGCCCACCGGCTGGGGGGGGGCACAGGCTGCCGGCGTGGGTTCACTCAGCTGGGAGGCCGTGGCCGGGCTGGCAGTCACACCGGTGCCCCACGTCTCACCCCACCTGCGTGTTTCTGTTCGGAATGACTGTAAAGCCCATCAGGTGGCAAACTAATTAGATTTTCGTTCTTGGCCGATATATGAAATAGAGTCTCCTACTTTTTTGGTGGATCAATACAGTTGGAAAATATAACAAGAAAAGTTATAAAATGGAGAAGTTAAAATTTTAATCTCCACTTACAGACTTTTTTACAAGTGAACTGTGAAGAAACAAATCTCTCTCTGTCTGCCGCAGGTGAGAAAGGAGCTCAGCGCTGCCTCGTCCGACGCCGATGAATTGTCGGGATGTTACAGCAGACTGGATTCTGTCCTTCAGAAGGTTAGATTTTTCCATTCATGAATGTTATATGTCAGATTTCTGTTTTCTGTGCTTGCTGGCATGATTTTTGTTTCTATGCCTGTGCAGTTTATGCCTGAACAGGAGGGTGGGGAGGTATGGGGGCACTAACCCCCTACACAGTTGAAAATCCTTGTATAACTTTTGACTCTCCCAAAACATAACTATTAATATCTACTGTTGATCAGAGGCTTTACTGATAACATAAGCAGTCAATTAACACATACTGTGTGAGATATATTATACTATCTCCTTACAGTAAAGTAAGCTAGAGAAAATACATTTAGAATACAGAATTCCTTTGTTGGAAAAAAAAAAAAATCTACATAAGCCCTGAGCAGTTCAAACCATGTTATCCAACGATCAGCTGTGTATTGTTTTTGTTGTTGTTGTTGTTTTTACTTACGCTAGCCTTGGTTTTTTAAGCAGTTACTCTGGTCTTTTTGTTAAATAATGCTTTTATTTTCCTGTAATGACATATATCTCATTATATTATGATCATTTCTTTACCAGACTGAAAATTTCTTGGGACAAAGAATGTGTCTCATTCATTCTTGGTTCTCTGCCCCTGTCACAGTGCTAGAGCAGAGCAGACTCACGGCAAATGTAGCAAATGGAGAAACGGGCTGCTCCCAGCTTAGAGGCGCAGGCTCCTCTGGCAGACAGGGAGTGTGGTGTGTGGTAGCCGGTGCTTCGTTCCGTCCTCCTGTTGGTGTGGCTGAGGTAGCGCTCAGGGGAGAGAGGAGAGGAGAGGGTGGTCCCGGGGTTTGAACCTCTGTGGTGTGAGGCCGGCTGAGCCGGGGGCAGTGTGTTCCCCATTTGTTGTCTACTTGACCTTGGCAAAGAGAGAGCCACTGGCAGCAGGCAAGCTCTACATTTTACTGCAAGCTTAATAAAAATAGGCAGCACCGGCCCTGGCTGGTGTGGCTCAGTCGGTTGGGTGTCGTCTTGTGCGCTGAAAGGTTGCCGGTTCCATTCCCAGGCAGAGCACATGTGCAGACTGTGGGCTTGATGTCCTGCAGGAGGCAGTTGATCAGTGTTCCGATCATGCATTGATGTTTCTCTCCCTGCCTCTCTCTCAAAATCAATAAAACGTGAAAAACCAAATAGCGCTTTCCCTGGGTTTTAATGGGGCCACTAGGTTAGAAACTTGACTCATCCATTAAAGTTGGTGCTAACTGTAGCTTTTTTGGTGTGTGATTACAGATTGATGAATGTGAAAAGAAAAAGAGGAAAGACTGTGAAAGTCAAAACAATCCTGTTTTTAGGAGATACCTAAATAAGATTTTAATTGAAGCCAGAAAGCTTGGACTTGTGAGTATTGGTGGTGTGATACTAATCAATGTAGCGGGCGTCTTCATTGTTTATTAATTTCCAGTATATAAAGCAGTGAGGGGCCACTGTGCCGGAGCAGACACTTCCTGTTCGTGCAGAGGTTGGGGGAGGCAGTGCAGGCCGCTCCTCTCCTCTCTTCCTTCTCCTTCGTGGGGATTTCCTCACTCAGCCCTGTGTGCTGCCCAGCCATTTCATTCGCTTGGGGGTGGGGGCTGTTTTAAATTTGCTGTTTGAACTTGACCAAACAGTTGGAAGCTTAAACTCCTGGCTTGGTGAGGAAATTCCGCCTGGCTTTGCTGTTTCTGCCCCTTCCCACCCGCTCACCCTGGTGAGGGAGAGGACATGCGTTTAAGTAGTTCCCCCCGAGCTGTTCCTGTGCAGGTGCCGCCGTGGCGGGGTGGATGCTGTGCACACTGTTCGCAGGGACCTGCCTGCCCCCTGTACGGAGCCCGGGCTCCTGGGTGTGTGGGTGACGTCACAGGCTGTAACTGCTGCGGAGGGCAAGAAGCCGCTTATCCTAGTAAAATGTACATGGTGTGCATGGGTTTACGCTTTGAAATGTTTTCACATGTATCATCTTAGGTTTCGCTGTGGCCTGTGAGACAGACGGGTGGGTGTTGTTATCCTTATGCTACGTGGGAAATATTGGGAACTAACTATGTTTACTTCCACATTGGCTTTCGTCTTGAAACATTTCACTGGATAATATAATAAAGTTCTCTTTCCTGTTGTTTGTTTCTTTTTTTGGAAAATTTAACTCAGCCTGATGAAAACGGAGGTGACATGCATTATGATGCCGAGATTATCCTTAAAAGACAGACCGTGAGAGAAATAGAGAAGTTTCTCAGTGGGGAAGAGTCGCTGCCAGGCGCCCTGGATGATGCTCTCAGTGATATTTTAATTAATTTTAAGTTTCATGATTTTGAAAGATGGAGGTGGCGATTTGAAGATTCCTTTGGTGTGGATCCATATGATGTGTTTATGGTAGGCTGCGTGAAGGGGGTACGATTCACAGGTTTTAAAAAATACTGTTCAAACTTCACCATAATTGTGTGAAGAAACTGCACTAAGTCACTCATACTGTGTTGATGAACTTTCAGCAAAATGGTACAAATGACTGCACATTTTAAAAAATATATTTTTATTGATTTCAGAGAGGAAGGGAGAGGGAGAGAGAGAGAGAGAGAAACATCAATGATGAAATTGAGTCATTGATTGGCTGTCTCCTGCACGCACCCTACTGGATTGAGCCTGCAACCCCCATGTGTCCTGACCAGGAATCGAACCTGGGACCCTATCCACTGAGCCAAACCAGCGAGGGCGATTTTGCACATTTGAGTCCAGTTTTTGTTGCTGCTGTGGTTTGGTGGGGAGGACGGCTCGGCAGTGACCCCACTGTCTCTTCTTTGTTTGAGGTGCTTCTGTGTCTGCTCTGCATCGTGATGCTGGTAGCTACCCAGCTCTGGACGTATGTTCGTTGGTACACCCAGTTGAAACGTGTTTTGCTCATCAGTTTCCTCATCAGTATGGGATGGAATTGGATGTATTTATACAAGGTATTAATTAGGTGGAAATTTTAAAATTTAAAAGTGTTACTTCTTGATACAAGAGATAAAAGAGATAACCATGTATGTAACTTTGCCTCATGTAACTGAGGCTGGAGGCAGTGGTTGGGATTGGGCTGGAGTGCAGTTGGCAGGTGCTTGGCTGTGCCTGGTGTTTGGGTCCTTGACTAGGTAATGGGGGCAAACGTTCTGCTCTAATTTTAATAGTCCAGCTCCTGACAGGTGGGGTCTGAACAGCTAAATGGGAATAGAGCGAGGTAGACACATTTAAAAAAATCTTATTTTAGTGATTTGGGATATGTTTTATTTGTTAGAAATGATATCAAAATACTAGTTTTTAAAAGTTGGGTTGTTTCCTGAATGCAAACATAGCGTGTTTAAGGTAGAGAATTTGAAGAAGTGCAGAGAAGTTTAACTTTTACACACACCTGGGGATCGTCATTGCCAGGGTTTTGAGACACTGCTTTGCAGTCTTTTTTTTTTTTTTAAGTTTTAAGTCTTTCAAACTTGAAATCATGCTGAACCCTAACCTGACTCTAATCCTAAGGGAAATGGGGACCATGCTGTGCTATGTATAGGAATTTAAAGACGTGCCGTTCCTGTCACAATGGCCTAATCGTTACAGGACAATTTCCGATCTGTCTAGCAGGGGAGTCAAACAGCCTGATATTGATAATGAATTCATCGGATTAGACTGTTGTGACTCTCTAAAGCCTTTTGCTGTAAGTTCCTCAGCTTCTAGAACTTGTAATTCTTTAAACTTGAAGGAAGGAAGGCTGTTTGGTGACCATGTGCACCTCACTGGCCTCCGTAGGCTGTAATTCATAAAGGACGGTTACCGCGGACAGGCCAACGCATGCCCCGGCTCACCGGCGCTGGCAGCAGCATGGCGGTGGGAGCCATATGTGAACTAATTTTTTAAAGTTAGTGACAAGGCTCCTCCTCGTCTTAAGTGCTTCCGTAAGAAGTCAGGGCTCGAAGCACGGACACTGCTTGGCCATGAGTGAAAGAGCCTCTTTAGAAACAAGAGGTGCACCTTTTGTGTTAAAATCTTCTGAACAACCTGGTGTCTGGGCTGCGGGCTGGGTGTGGGCGTCACCATTGCTGGCAGCGCTCACGCTCCCCGGGGTGCTGGGCAGGTGTCTTTCGCGCAGCATCAGGCTGAAGTCGCCAAGATGGAGCCGTTCAACGATGTGTGTGTTGAGAAGATGGACTGGTCTGGGAGCCTCTGGGGTAAGTGCTGCTGGTCCTGGGGCCTTATTTTGAGTAGAATTTTTGAGAATGAGAAAACATACTGGAAATTACAGAGGAATGGTAAAGTAGCAGAAGGAGGCTTTCCAGGATTGACCGGCAGGAAGACTGAGGTTTCCAAGGTGAATCCAGAAGAGGCAGTCCTGTTAATTATAAATTACTTTTTGATCCTTTGTTATGACTTTATTTTTAAAAATGTGTTTATTGGTTTCAGAGAGAAAGGGAGAGGGAAACGGAGAGAGAGAGAGAGAGAGAGAGAAACATCAGTGATGAGAGTCATTGGTTGGCTGCCTCCTGCACACTCTCTACTGGGGATTAAGCCCATAACCTGGACATGTGCCCTTGACTGGAATTGAACCTGGGACCCTTCAGTCCGCAGGCTGATGCTCTATCCACTGAGCCAGACCGGCTAGGACATGACTTTATTTTTTAATTTGTTGGGGTGACATTGGTTAATAAAACTTTATAGGTTTCAAGTGTACAGTTCTGTGATGCATCATCTAAATATTGCACTGTGTGTTTACCACCTGAAGTCAAATCTTCCGTCACCATATGTCTGACCCCTTTCACTCTTCACTGACCCCTAGTAAAGGGCCTTTATCATGGCAGTAGCTGATCATTTTCAAGCATAGATGGTAAGGAGAAGTAAATTGTCTTAAAATTGATAGCTTGAAACAGTAAGAATACTTAAAATTAACCCAAGTTTCTGACTTTTGTGTCTAATGTATATAAATCGATGATGTATCTTGGGATGTCATTTTTCTGCTTATCAGTATGATTACATAGACATATAAAAATGCAACTCTATGCATTGTCCACAATTTACTGTACCAAATGGCATCTTGAATTATTTATTTAGAATATGCTAAATTATAATAATAAAAAAACACATTTACTACCATGTTTCCCCGAAAATAAGACATCCTCCGAAAATAAGACCTAGTGCAACTTTGGGAGAAAAAATTAATATAAGACACTGTCTTATTTTTGGGGAAACGGTATATTTGTAGATAAAACTTAACTTAATTCTCACAATCTTATTCAGGTTTTCTGCTGGTCCTTGGTCTATAGGCTGGGCAAAAACAGTTGTAGTACACGTAATAAAATAATCCTATGCAATAATATGCTAATTGACTGGATGGCAGAACAACCTTCCAGAATGACCTTCTGAAACAACAGTGGGTGGGGCCGAGAGGCAGTGAGGCAGCTGGGCCCGAGGCAGCTGGGGCTGTGGGGGCCGAGCCCATTGCATGGATTTTGTGCATCAGGCCTCTAGTGAATAAATAATGATACAAGAACAAACTGCTTTGTTTACTCAAAACTGTAAACCTACTTTTGCCCTTTCTTATATATCATGCATTTTAATTACGTACTCTATGCTTTTACTCTGTTTCCCTTATTTCATTCTTACGATTGGAAGAGGAAGAAAGAGGAGGGGGAAGATAAATGGGGATTTTTTTTAGAGTTATTGAACAAACAGGTGTATATATTTTTTCTTAAATAACAAGGAAATATTAAAAAATACTTGCCAGGGTTTTGATTTATAAAGTCAAGCTAATAAGCAGCATTTAAAAATATTCCTGTTAAAAAACAGAGTCTTATGTTTCCGACAGTGAGCTCTGTGTCCATGTGCCATTATGGGGCAGGACCAGACGCTGTGCAGTCGCTGACAATCTGGCCTGTCTCCCTCCTTCCACCGAGGACGCCGTGCCCCTGCCCTTCACAGGGTCCCGCCCGCTCTGGGTCCTCAGCATCAGTTCATTAAAGAAGTGAATTTCTCACATAAATGAATACCCTCTTAGACTTCATCTCCTCATACTGAATTATGAATCTTATATTGTAGCTTTACTATTTTTTTTTTTTAACTAGGGGAAGTTACGTTTTTTCGTACAGATATTTAATAAACATTTTCAGTAATGCTGACTGCCTGTAGTTATGTGTATCTAGCAGTGGGAATGGTTTAATGTTCAAAGACACTTTATATACATAAATGCAAGTCCCTGACGACTGATCCAGAACAGAACCTGAGCAGATTCTATACTCAAGGCCCAAAATTAATGTTTCTTAAGACATTCTGGGAACTAACCCAGCCCAGCCTGCTTCGTGGACAAGCAGATGCCTCCCCTGGCTCAGGCAGTCCGTGCTGTGAGCCTGAGTTAGAAGAGCGGGGAGCACTAGTGAGAACTGACTTTTAGGCTGAGGTTATGGAGGGCGCACAGGCAGCTGGAAGCGGGAGCACGGGAGCCTGTGTGCCTCCCCGGCGGAGGCGTGATTCCACTGTCCAGGGGCCCGGCCCGGACAGGGACCTCGATACAGTCTCACTCAGTTCCCAGTTCCCAAATAGTCCCCTTTTAGAAATCTTTGTGACATAATCTGTTACCTGCATAGGATTATAGGATTTGAATGGATCTTTAAAAGAAACATTTTGGACATACAATGAAAAACTTTGTAAATTGGCATGACAGGGAGTCTGTTTGTAAAACTGTAAAACTGATTGGTGGTGGCGGAGTAAAACCAAAATATTGTCTTATTCGGGAAGAGGAGCAGCTCTTTTCAAATGACTCCGTGTTTTGTCCATTTCTCCAAATAGAATGGTTTAGAAGCACATGGACCTATAAGGATGACCCATGCCAGAAATACTACGAGCTCTTACTCGTCAACCCTGTTTTGTTGGTACCACCAACAAAGGTACGCGATATGTCTGTAAAAATTACATGTACAAAGTAAGTTCAAACACCCTTGCATATATTAAACATTGCAGGTGTTTTTAATTTTTATTGATTTGAGAGAGGGAGCGCAAGAAAAACATTGATTTGTTTCACTTATTTATGCATTCATTGGTTGGTTCTTGTGTGTGTCCTGACTGGGGATCGAACCTGCAACCTTGGTGTATCTAGGGTGGCGCTTTAACCAGGTGAGCTACCTGGCCAAGGCAAAAATTGTTAGGTTTTTTTTTTTTTTTTTAGTCTTTTGCTAATAACCTTTGTTCTAGAAAGAATATATTTCCATTGCAGTGATTTTTCACATTTTTCAAGGCATATGATAGCATTTTATTTTATTTTTAAAATATATCTTTATTGATTTCAGAGAGAAAGGGAGAGAGAGAGAAACATCAATGATGAGAGAGAATCACTGACCGGCTGCCTCCTGCACGTCTCCTACTGGGGATCAAGTCCACAACCCAGGCATGTGCCCTTGACCAGAGTCGAACCTGGGACCCTTCAGTCTGCAGGCTGATGCTCTGTCCACTGAGCCAAATCAGCTAAGGCCTCTGACAGCCTTTTAATTGTGTAACATGGGTCTCTGCCCGGGGCGTTTGGCTCGTTCTGTGTGCCTGTCGTGTGAGGGGAAATGAGTTGCTTTTACTTTTCTAGGCCCTGGCAGTGACGCTCACCAACTTCGTGGTGGAGCCGCTCAAGTACGTCGGGAAAGGAATGGGCGAGTTCATCAAAGCGCTCATGAAGGAGATCCCGGGGATCCTGCACGTCCCCGTGCTGATCGTCATGGCGCTGGCAGTCGTGGTTAGTACAGAGCCTTACGGCCAAAGGCGTTGGGAAATCCGGCCAGGTCACTCCCGCTGCCGGCTGGGAAGGGGACTTCTGGGTACTGCTGTGTGTGTGCTTCTGCGTGCGGGCCTCTCAGCAGGGTGGTGCTCAGCTTGGATTGCGGCGCAGTGGCAGGGATTTAGAAAAGACCCTCCTTTCAGTTGGTTCTTTGTTACACACACAGTCAGTTGTTGTTTTTTTATCCTCATCCAAGGATATTTTTCCATTGATTTTTAGAGAGAGTGGAAGGGAGGGAGAGTCAGAGAGAAACATGACTGCAACCAAGGTATGTGCCCTTCACCAGAATCGAACCCAGGACTCTTCCGTCTGAGAGCCGACACTCTAACCACTGAACTAAACTGGCTAGGGCCCAAATACAGGTTTTCATTGTTTGGTTTTTTCTTAGAAAAAGGGGGAAGAGAAACATTGATCAGTTGCCTTCCCTACATGCTTGCCTGGGAATCAAACCCGAGGCCCTTCAGTGCATGGGGCCACTTTAGAATGCCGCTCTGCACCTGCACACGTCCAGGCGCCTTCAGCGAGGATGGCACTGAAGCCAGAGGCGCCAGTCCACCTCGGGCCCTCCCTGTGCTCCAGGGCCCACCGCCTGCCCCTCAGGGCCTGTGGGCCTGGAGCTAAGCCACACTTGTGTTGGGGAAAAACCTACTGGAGAATGTTTGCATGACCATGCTCAGCTGAGCATTCTCAGCATTTTCCGTAGGCGATGGATGAGAATGTAGCAGTGATCAGTGTCTTCCCATGGAAATTCCTACGCAGCCAACTGCCGTTGTTATAATTCAATCAAACTCTCTAGCTGCTTGAGAAGTCTACTTAATACTGAGTGATTTCTCCATTTTTATTGGCTCCTCTGGCCCCGTATTAAAGAAGAGCCTTGTAATGAAAAGAACAAACAGATCAATGAACATGGCTGTGTCTACAAATGCCACAAGTTACGTAATCCTGTCAGCATTCGAAGGAACATTCCCTTTAGTGTAAGTGAGCCTTTACGTCCTCAGAAACGCATTGTCTCTTCCTTCTAGAGCTTCTGCTACGGTGCTGGACAGTCCATCTATATGCTGCGACTCTTCGGCGGTCCCGCCCGGGAGCCCGCCCCGGCTCTGCAGCCGGCTGACAAGCACCGGCAGCAGGAGCTTGGCTATGGAGCCCGTGGCGGAGCAGGTGATGCAGATTTTGCTTCTCGGGGCCAGATTGGTGCCTGTGAGCAGGGCCCTTACGGAAGGCCGTGTGCGGGTGGAAGAGATGTTGGGAGAGAGCGAGCTGTGGACGGGAGCTTTCAGACTGGCCGCAAGAGCCCCGAAGTGCTCCGGGCGGCTGATAGACCAGACTCGGAGGCACCGGAGCGGCCCGAGGCGCGCAGTGTAAGTCAGCGCGTTTCCTGTCCTCGCCCTAGGCCCGGCGCCGCGGCCGCGCTGCCCTCTGACTGCTCTGTTCCAGCTGCATCGCCCCCGTCTTATCCACACTCTCCTCTCGCTGGTCAGTTAGTGCGTCTCCGTAGAAGAGGTGAGATGGCTGTGCGTCTCTGCAGCAAGTTCGTTAGCACAGAGGGAGTTTCCTAGAGTTCCCAGGCCCTGAGCGTGGCCGACGCTTCTGCCTTGGGGAGAGAGGGAAGGCTCCCCGAGGGCCGGGAGCCCACAGGAGCCGAGTCTTGGCTGGGAGAGGGGACGGGGATCAAGAACCTCGTCCTCCCGATCTTCTATGTCATTGGCTGGCGACTGCTTTTGACCTGCAGGATGATGAGGCCTTTTCCCCACCATTATTTAAAGGGGCATTTCCTTTTTGTGTGTGTGTGTGTGTGTTTATCCTCACCCAAGGATATTTTCCCATTGATTTTTAGCGTGGAAGGGATGGGGAGAGACAACCATCCATGTGAGAGAGACATGGATTGGTTGCCTCTTGCACATGCCCGACTAGGGCTGGGGGTTGAGCTCATAAACCAGATATGGGCTCTTGACGGGAATCGATCCTGGGACCCTCCTGTCTGCAGGCCTACGCTCTGTCACTGAGCCAAACCAGCTAGGGCGACATTTTCATTTTTGTGACAGGAATTTGTATTGTCATTTGCAAAGTTTAAGTTGCAAGTGTAAAGCTTTGGAAAATGGTAGGAACACAGGAGAGCTGAGGAATGTATAGATGCCCTTCCCACGCAGTTCCTTATAAGCAGGAATCTGCATGGAAAACTGGGAGGTGCTCCTCTCAGCTTTATAAGGCTTCCCTGTCACTCACCTTGAGACTCCTCCTGTGACTTCCCGTCACACAGCACGTGGAGTAGAAGCCCAAGTTGTCCCCGTGGCCCGGGGCCCTCTGCTCAGCCCACCTCTCCTGCTGCCGCCCAGCTCCCTCGCTGCACTCAGAGCCTCTGGGCCTGGTGCTCACCGTCTGGAATCGTCCCCCACAGCCTCTCCATTCCTTCATGCCTCTCCTCACTGAGCCCCTTTCAGCCCACTTCCAGGTGATGCTTTGCTAATGTGTTTGCTGCCGGTTCTCCCCAACCTAAACGGAAGTCCCGGTGAGGGAGGGTCCTCCTGGTCTTGACCCGCAGTGTCCCCAGCATCTGGCACGGGTCTGTGCTCAGCACCTGCTTGTCAGGTGCTTCCTCTCACCAGGCACCAGGCCTGACGGCCGTGTCCTCAGTGTCCCGCTCCCCCACGGGGTCCCTGAGGCTGAAGGTGGTGTCATTGCAGCCCAGCATGAGGTTCAGATTTGCACAGAAACTTGTTAGACATGGTTACCAGCCTTTCCCATCGTTACGGAAACAGTTGGAACAAAATGTGCTTCTGTGCTTTCTAGGCCAGAGAGACTGAGGGAGCCCCGGGAGAGAGCGCACCGGCAAAGGGCAGCACCGAGAGCAGCCGGCGTCCTGAGCCCGGCCCTGGCCAGGGGGCGCCGGGGATGGCGGAAGGTCCTGCAGCGGGAAAGGCACCCCTCAGGACTCAGGACACAGGCAGCCCCGAGGAGGGTGGCCCGCCCCGCCCAGCAAGCGTGGCCGCCGCGACCGCAGGAGCAGGCGGGAGGGACCCGGCCTGCGGCCCGTGAGGCCGGAGGAGCCCTGACTCGCACCACAGCTTGGAGGCCATCTTTTTGTCAAGAATCTTGTAATGTACACTCTTCACAGCTGTTCACTACAGGTTTATGACATTTACTCCAAAAACGTGCCAACCTAAGCGTTAATATTTTTACTGACAGTTAGAATTAACCTATTTCTGTTCATTTAACTTCTTTTTTCTGTCTTATGTATTCTCTTTGATGTTAAGGTACACCCCATAGAGTTTTGAAGTATTAATTGTGGAACAAGGTCTCATAGGTGAGCTAGGATGGCAGGCAGTGCTGATGCTGAGTAATTAAGGAAGCCGGTAGGAATGAGGGACATTGAACAGGAAGTGTTCTTGTTTACAGGCCTGTTCAGGGCCCGGGAACCAGAGTGTGTGCTGCCTGGTGAGTCCTCTGATACCTCTTCAGTCCGAAGACTGATTTGTTCACTGTGCACAGCACCCCAGAGGGGTGGGCACTCACAAACCATTTTTAGAAAAATATATTTTGATTTTTTTACAGAGAGGAAAGGGAGGGATTGAGAGTTAGAAACATCCGTGAGAAACAATCAGCTGCCTCCTGCAGATCCCCCACCGGGGATGTGCTCACAACCAAGGAACATGCCCTTGACCGGAATTGAACCCGGGACCCTTGAGTCTGCAGGCTGACGCTCTATCCACTGAGCCGAACAGGCTAGGGCTCACAAACCATTTTTAAGGAAAGTCCATTCGAGCCCAGTTCACTCTTCATGTCCTGCCCGTGGGCCCGCATCACCAGCACCCGTGTCTGCAGGCGGCGCCCCATCAGAGTGGCTCTGAGTCTCATGTTACATCTTAACTCACAGCTGTTGCTGGGGCTACTGTCACCTCGGACAGGCTGGAGATCGCGGGGGACTGTGGGGGCAGCTTGTGCGGTAATCTCGGCTCAGGTAGGGAGTGGCATCGGAGTGGCTCCGTTTTCCCCACGTGGTGAAGGGCGCTCAGAACGCCAGCAGCGCGGGCTGTTAGCTGTGACAGTATCTTACTTGCATCCCAGCAAACCATGTGGCCAGGGCGCACAGTCCTCATTTTTAGAGGCTGCACATGGAGGAGAATGCCGTGGGGAAAACGGAATGGGTGTTTTCCCTAACTACAGACAGGTGATACAGTCAACATTTTAAATTATTTTGATTTTTAAAACTATCCCTTACTTTAAACTGGGGGTGAGGGAGAACTTACAAGTTTTGCTGGTTGGTAGCTAGGACATAATGTTTGCTGGTTGGGGCTAGCTAGAAAGCCAATCTCACATACATTTAGGAGCCTTTGTTTAACATTCACAGTAAAAAAGTGACGTTCAGCAGCTCCAAGAACAATGCCAGTCGCGAGTAGTCTTAAAGGTGTCCTTCAGGTGTGTGTTTTAGAAAAAAAAAAAGATTTATTCAAAGCATTTGCTTTCTGATGGCTTTGAAAAATATTTTTCTTTTTTAAAAATATATTTTATTGATTTTTTACAGAGAGAGAGGGATAGAGAGTTAGAAACATCGATGAGAGAGAGAGACATCGATCAGCTGCCTCTTAGACATCCCCTACTGGGGATGTGCCCGCAACCAAGGTACATGCCCTTGACCGGAATTGAACCTGGGATCTTGTAGTCCGCAGGCCAACGCTCTATCCGCTGAGCCAAACCGGTTTCGGCGAAAATGTTTATTTCTCAACTACAGCTTTCATTTAATATTGTTTTGTGTCAGTTTCAGGTGTACAGCATGATGCTCAGACAATCATACACTTTATGTTTCTAGTGCCCACCTGGCACCGTACATAGTTATGGCCATATTATTGAGTGTTATTCCCTGTGCTGTACGTCTGGTATGCTTTTTACATGAAATCTAGTTTAATATTGCAAACATCATTAGTATTTCATCAGATGATTTTTTCTAAGAAACACACAAAGAATTGTGTATAAAGATTTATAACACTACGCATGTAGTGAACTAAGGGCCAGGTGCCCGCGGTTTGGCATAGACTTGGTGGTGGAACGAGACCTGTTGGCTAAGGGGACCTGCTCTGGTGGAGCTGCCCTGAGCCCGGTGCATGCGGGGCAGCCAGACCAGACAGGGCGGAGCCGTGCCCTCTGCTCTCCTCGCTGCTGTACAATCCCACGCAGCTCTGCCAGCAGCCTCCACGTAAGCTCCCCTTTGACTTTACCTGACAGATGGCCGTCTGGCATGAGATCTACTGGGACCACCAGCAAGGCAGCCAGCCTGCCGTTGGTAGCAAGGCAGGGAAGACTCACGAGAGCAAGTGGAGCGTGCCCAGGCCAGTTTATGACAGAGGGAGGCCTGCGGAGGGCCAGCCAGTGTTATCACTGATAGGAAGGCATAGAGACGCGCTTTTAAGAGAATCTGAGTGGTGGTGACCGTTTTTAAAAGCGGATTTTAAATGGAATAATATTGAATGTTTACAGGGACTAAGAAGTACCATATACACACAATAAACACTTATTTTTATATTACTCCGGTTGGCACGCTTATCTTTGCTCATTGAATATTCTTACAAGATAAAGTTCATGAAACTCGTGTGCACTTTTTAAACGGAGGCAACTTAGGACCTTGTACCCGTAGAGAACACACACGCTGTGATACAATCCAATGTTACCTGAGCACTTTCACCAAAACTTCTGACAAGAATGTGTGTGCGCACCCCCCCCCCCAAGAAGCGCTTACTGTAATTCCAGGTTGTGTAACTGCTGCTTTATTTTTAAACCGTGGCGTTTGGAGTCATTCTCACCGTGTGCCGTCAGACCCGCCGGAGGACTTGTAGACGGCCCGGCCCCGATGTGCCACCCCCGAGGTGAATGCGCTCCGTGTGCTCACTTGGCGTCGGGTCAGGCTCTGCTCTGTCCTTCCTCGTTTTGCTGAACTTTCCTGCGTCGTGTCCTGTTCCGTGTCCTTGTGAACACCTTCCCGCTTCTGGGAAGAGGCTTCATGGCAAGGGAGGTAGGTCCTAGCCTCCGTCTGTCAGAGTGAAATCTCACGAGTTTTTCTGTTTCCTGTTTCTTGTGACACGACCACATCGTGGCTTCTAACGTTAGGTCCTAGGCAGCCTCACAGCAGTATTTTGCAATAAAGGATACAAGTCTGAACCATGTATACATACATGTCTACACCTACATGGATCATATGGTCACGTGCTACGTGAGGATGATGTGGTCCACAAAAGACCACTTCCACGGTGGTGGCCCCATCAGATTATGATGGAGCTGAAAATTCTGTCGCCAGTGACATCACAGCCATCCTGACATCATGACACCGCCAGCTGCTCGCTGTGCTGCTGGTCTGAACACCTACCCTCACAGCCGCCGCCGCGCCGTCCAGGTCCGCCTCTGTCTGCTGCGGTCTCGCCTCCTGAGGTTTTCTCAAACTACCCCGTCAGTCAGTGGCACGTGACTGTTTAATTAAAAAGAAAATACAAAGAGCCCAAAACAAGCTAAAAGAAGTTTATTTCTTAAGAATCTCATAATGGCTTTGGCCCAAAAATATATTGAAAATAGATTTGTTTTGAGGGGAGGAGGGGGGAAGGAGACCTAGATTTTTTTATGGACTATTTTTTATAACTAAACATTGGTCAAGCATGTTTTTCTAGACAACATGCTTGCTCTCTACATGTTAAGTAAAAAAAAAAAAAAAGCCACTGTCAATGAAGTGCTTAAAAATAGGATCTCAGAAAGGGGCTGGGAGTCCTGTTTGTCTAACTTTCTACTTTACACACCGAGGCCCAGGACTAAGGAGCTGGAGGACAGTCCCAGGCAGAATCACGGAAGCACCTTCTCAGCCGCATCCACAAAGCACGTGAGTGTCCATGTTCATAACACGGCACGATACACGCCAAGGTGTACGCCGCCCTCGCAGCCTGAGCGCTGTACATGCCGTAACCTCCTCCTCCCAAGGAAAGGAGAGGTGCCGCTCCTCGCAGCGTTCTTTAAGAAACGCACCCACCCTAACTAGTGGCTTATTTTCTTCCTGAGTTCTTAAATTCCAACAGAGCATCGCTTTGCAAACAGCCCTTCAGCCCAACAGCAGCGTCTCTGTTTTGATCTCTTTGTAAGAGAACTCTCTGTTCATCCATCCTTTTCGCCTGAGACCGTAAAATGAGGCTGAAAAAGTCCTCGTCGGGGACCGTCGGCCCCTTTGTGGCAGCGGGGGGCGGAGCACATCTCTGGTCGTCCAGCCTGTACCCCTGAAAGCAAGGAGAGCGGTTAGCACCACTGATGATGACAACGTGGGTATTTCATAAATGACTTTTATGTTGCAGTGGTTTCCTGATATTCTGAGTTTGAATGTGTTGAATTTTGTCAAATGCTTTTTATTCATCAATTGAGATGACTGTTATTTTTTCCTACATTCTATTTGTGTGGTGTATTAGATCAGGTTCCCCACAGTCTTGCATTCCAGGAATAAGTCTCAGCTGGTCATGGTATATAATTCTTTCAATATGCTGCTGAGTTCTGTTTGCTAGAATGTTGATTTCTGCTCTGTATTTAAAAGGACATTGGTATCCCGTTAGCTTTGGTATGAGGGCAATACACTGGCCTCAGAATGACTCCTAAGGCGCAGGAAGGCTTCCCTTCAGTTTTGGGGAACAGTTGAAGCAACACTGATGTGAGTTCTTATATGTTTGGTAGGATTCACCTGTGCAGCATCAGGTCTGGCTTTCTGTCAGGTCTTTGATTACGGATAGAATCTCCTTAGAAATTATGGATCTACTTTAAATCATTATTTTCTTGGACAAATAACTAGAAACACAATTTCATCCAGGTTACCCAACTTATTGGCATATATTCATAGTTTCTTGTAATTTTTATTTCTGTAGAAGCAGGAATAATGCCCACTTTCATTTCTGATTTTAGCAATTGAGGCCTCGTCTTTTTCTTAGTCTAGCTAGAGGTCAGTCTTTTCAAAGAACCAGCCTTTGATTTTGTTGACTTTCTCTATTTTTCTGTTATTTATATTTCTGCTCTCATCTTTATTTCTTCCTTCCTTCTGCTAGGTTTAGGTTTAATTTGTTCCTTTTAGTCCTTAAGTCGTAAACATAGGCTGACTTGACATCTTTTCTTTTAATGTCAGCAGCATTTATAGCTGTAAATTTCCCTAAGCTTTAGAACACTCTTTAATTTCGTAATTTGTCCAATTTCCTTGTTATTGCCTCTAACGTTGATGCCACTGTGGTTGGAAACATGTTTGGTAGGGTGCCTTTAAAATCTCCTGGGACTGAACTGGCGACCTCACAGTCTACCCTGGAAAGTGTCCTAATGTGCCCACTAGATACGGGTGCTTCCCTGGTTGTTTGGTCCACTGCTGAAGGGTGCGTACTGCAGGCTCCACCTACGGCTGTAGAAACGCCCTCCCCTTTGAGCACATCTGTCCGCGTTGGCTGCAGGATTTCCCGGGTCCCTGGGATCACGGCTCCTTTTCACATTTCACGTCTAAACTACTACCTGGCATGTGCTTCTCCCCCTTCTCCCTGGTCTACAGGCAAAACAGCGGCCTTGGTTAGAGCTGCTCTCCTGCAGCTGCTATGACTGCAGAAGATGCCCAGCAGCCCCCAGTGTGACTAGTTAACTCGAGTGTCCTCAGCACAGGCAGCAGTCTATTCCTTTCATAAAGGGTCGGCTGTGCTCCACTTCCTTTCTTTTCCGTGTTTGGCCCTACCACTTCTGCTGAGAACACAGAAGCACCCAGAGAACTCCTGCTTGCTCCCGCCTCCCGGTGTGTTCACTCTGCCTCCTTCCGTTCCTCCTCCTCCTGCAGCTCCAGCTCTCCTCTCTCCTACCTCCCCTTTCATGTCACTGAGACAGTACCTCTCAGGATTACTAATCTCAGCCATCACCTCACAGGCTTTTTGCAGCACCTGGCACAGGTGAGCATCCCTTGAACCCCTGCTGCACGGCTCTCTCCTCTCAGGCTCTATCGGTTGGATCTGGAGCGCTGAGTCCTCTGCTTCCTCCTCTCCTGCTCAGATGTCACCTCGTTCCAGGGCTTTGGTACCAGCTACTATTGCTGACTCCCAGTTACTGCTCTGTGGGTCACACTTTCACATCCAGTTGCCTTCTGAATGTGAATGTCTGGTTAGGGCCCTCGATTAACGTAAATGAAGTGGAACTCGCCATTTCTCCCCAGTCAGGCTTCTCCTCTGCATTAAATGGCACCGTTCACCCCACAAAGCTGAGCCATCCTTGACTCTGTCCTGCCCACCATCCGATTGTCACTCTGCCGAATTCCCACTGACAGCAGACCCTCCAGTATCTTCCCCTCACTCTGCCCTCCTGGGACTTGCCATCTCGTTGTGGAGGCCCTTTCACGGGCTGACTGCTTTGCCTCAGTCAGGCCTCTCTTCAGAAATGCCTTCCCAAACCACACCTACCGCAGACCCTCCTCCCACCAGCAGCCCTTTATCTTGCTGCCTGGCTTATACTATGCAAACCTAGCCAATGCCTCTCCCGTGTCTAGAATAGGACCTAGAAAGAATGAGGGCCCCAGAGGAAAGGCCTTAGAAGCAGCATTGTTTTCCGTGAGCACACAGGCTGGTAATCATTAAAACCGCTAACAAGTGAAAGCCGTTGTGCTCGGAGCATTTCCCCAAGCTAACTGGCTAGGAAGGGCCTCCACTGCCTTAGCCACCAGCTGCTCCCGAGGCCGCTCCCAACTGAGGGCAGAGGGCTCTTCATCCTCGGAGTCTTCTCTCCACGTCGGCTCACCAGCCGAAAGAACTCCCAACAGCCCTCCCCTCCACACAGTCCAATCCAGCCAGACAGCTGGCAAGCGCGTACCTGGCACTTGACGAGGATGTCGAAGAAGTCTTCGTCAGGCTCCCTGTCGCTCGTCACCAGGTGGCCCAGGACTGGCTGGCGGTGGTTCGGGGTCAGACGCAGCCCCGGCAGGTTGCTGACACTGGCCCTCTGGTCGTCCAGGCGGCGGCTCTGCGAGCTGGCCAGGAGATCCAGAAACTCGTCCGTGTTAGGGGACACCACGGAGACAGACAGTGCTACGAACAGGGAAACGGCTGGACATGAGGCATACTAGTATGGACACGGCTCCTTCCTGCTTAGCTGCCTGGTGGACAGGGACGGGGAGTGGATCCAGAGAACCCTCACATCCGGTTGGGGGTGCTTCCCATGGTGCTGCATTTCCTTTGTGCAGAGCTCCACTTTGGAAGGTAAATAGCTGTTTCTCTTCCTTAATGTGTCTGACGGGAAGTGTTTTTATTCCACGCCCTGGATAGGAGCCTTCGTGCTAATAACTCCGTGAATGCTGCGGGCAGGCGCCCAGGGCAGTGGAGTCACCTGATCAGTGTCGTCCCATACACCAAAAGGTGTGCGCTCCATCCCAGGTCAGGGTTCACATGGAGGCAACTAATGGAAGTTTCTCCTTCCCTTCCTTTCTAAGCATATCCTCAAGAGAGGATTAAAAAAAAAGGTTTAAGCCTCACCCCCAGTACTAACTGAATGTGTTTTACATGAACTGTAGTTTATTCCCGGGCCCTCAGAGCAGAGGCAGAGGCACTGGGGAACTGACACCGCTCGTTCGGACGGCATCTGGGCTCAGCTGCCGGGCCTCCCTGAGAGCCGCGTCCTCGGGACCTGAAGGGAGGGTGAGCACGGGGAGCAGCGGTGACTCACGTCTCAGCTTCCCTCTCGGGGGGGTGGTCGGCGCCGTGCCGGAAGCCGTCCCGCAGGTCTTGTCCCGTAGATGGCACCGCTGGTCGTCCATCCGGTTGCTCTGAAACCGGCTCAGGAGGTCAAAAAAGCCTTCCTCTCCCGTCGTGTCCGCACTGAGTTTCTGAGACAGAGAGGAAAGCTGAGGATCCCAGCAGCATCCTCAGGCCATCAGTGGGACAACATGAGGGTTAAAAATGGGCCTTTTTTTTGTAAAAGGAATCCGTGATGTCAGTGCTGCTACTGAAAAGCATTTGTAGTGACTTTCCTTTTTAATCCTGTATTTCTGGGCTAATGTCAGGGGCCTCGGAAGCGGGCACTGCTTCAGGTCCTGAATGAATCATGCAAGTGTCAGTGACGAGCATCGCCTCGGGCATACCCGCGATGCCAGCTCCTCTGGCACTTTGGGGCCACCCTACAATAGGGTCACATGAACACAGCACAGTTACCTGGACAGGTGACCTGATAACCGGCTACTGAGTGACTGACAGGCAGGGAGCGTGTACAGTGTGGAGGCACTGGGCTGACAGCATGAGATCTCGTCACCCCACTCAGAACAGTGTGCAACTTAAGACGTGCGTTATTTACTCTGGAGTTTCCAATGTAATATATTTGGACTGCAGTTGGTCACAGGTGATGGAAACCTGGGAGAGCAAACGCGGAGAAGAGAGAACTGTACTCACACCTTACTTCAAACACACGTACCCTCTGGGGATTGGGAACGCGGTGCTCAGTGGAGTTCCTGGCGTCTTGGAGGACTTTAGTGGAGGTACTGGTTTTGTATTTCTTCCCCTTCAATCTGTTGACAAAGAGTAGCTTTGCAGAAGGTTTGGCAATGAGGGGTTTTTGTTTAGCAAGAAGTTCACTGTTCCAGTTCTGTACCTGCCGAATGATAAAGGCGCATGTAAAGCAGAGCGAGAAGCAAACCTCTCTGGTTCCCTAGAATAGTAATCTGCCAACCTCTCAGTTAGTACTGGGGCTGAGGCTCAGATCTTTATTTTTTTTAATCCTCACCTGAGGATATGCTTTTTAGAGAGGAAGGGAAGAGAGAAACTTTGGTTGGTTGCCTCCCATATGAATCCTGACCTGGGATGGAGCTCACAACCCTTTGGTGTATGGGATGACACTCCAGCCAACTGAGCCACCCCGCTAGGGCGAGGCCTACATCTTTAAACAAACCCCTTCTTGCCGGGTAGCTCACTATTTCAATAGCTTGAATCAAATATACACACACTGAGGATTTCTCATTATCAAAACAATATGGTGGCTTTTAAAAACCTAAGAATAAGAAACAAAGTTTGCCAAAATTCCATAAAAATTAAATTTGAATGGTCAGAGAAAGAGCCAAGGTTTCATTCTGGGTGTTGGATATATAAGAGCTTAACCGCAAAATTCAACACCTAAAACTTACGCAGCATTTTTGGTCAAGAGAGCTGTACTGCTTTCGCTAACAATACTAAATTCTCAATAGGCAAAATCTAATCAATTTATGTGACCTGGTTTCAACACATGTAACAACCTTTTTAAAAAATGGTTAGAGTTTCCTTTCTAAATTTTATTTTTCTATTAGAGTTGACATACAATATTACCTTAGTTTCAGGTGTCCAACAGTGGTTAGATGTGTATGTAACTTGCAAAGTGACCCCGCCCCATTAAGTCTGGTCCCACCTGGCATCATATGTAGTTACATTATTACCATATTCCCTGTCACTACTTTGTAATTGCCCATTTCTAAATCCTTTTCACCCAGCCCACCATCCCCCTCCCATCTGGTAACCCTCAGTTTGCTCTCTGTGGTTTGAATGCAAAGGAAAAATATATACTATTTCACACCTGAAACCAATGCAACCTCAACAACAACAACAAAAAAGAGATCTTACATGAGGGGGGAAAGCACCACAAATATTTTTTGGAAGTTACAAATAAATTTTGTGAGTAGCCAACTCTGTAAATATGGAATCCATGAATAGTGAGAATCAACTGTACATTAAAAATAATTTTGTCATTTTATTAAAAAATTAATTAAAAAAGCCCGGCGTGGCTCAGTGGTTGAGTGTCAGTCTGTGAACCAGGAGCCGGTTATCAGGGTTCATATAGGAGGAACCAGGAGGTCACAGTGTGATTCCCCGTCAGGGCATATGCCCGGGTTATGGGCTCGATCCCCTGTTTGGAGAGAGCAGGAAGCAGCCGATCAATGACTATCATCATTGATGTTTCTTCCTCTCTGAAGTAAAAAAATTTTCCAAGTTACTAAAATATTTTTATAACAGTTCAAGAAATTTAAAATATAAAAACTACCCACCTTTTCTGGTGTTAATTTCATAAGTTCCATGTTTTCCATACTGTGTCGGCGTCCAAACTTGGGGCGTGCACCTTTGTAAAAAAGCAATTTAAGTAAACTAGGGAGACCTTACCACTACAAATTCAGCATCATTCTGGCATTTGTTATTGAATTTTAAAATCTGTTACACAAACCCCTATGGAAGTAGGAAATCTGTACAAACATGTTCTTTTAAGAATAATTTTCTAGACCTAGCTGGTTTTGCTCAGTGGATAGAGCATCAGCCTGCGGACTGAAAGGTCCCAGATTCTGTTGCAGGCTCGATCCCCAGTAAGGGGCGTGCAGGAGGCAGCCAGTCAATGATTCTTTATCATTGCTGTTTCGCGCTCCCTCTCTGAAATCAATAAAAAAATATATTTTTCAAAAAAAGAAAATAACTTTCTATAGAAATAGACTATGCCCTCCCTCTCAAAGATTTTAATGTAAGAAAGTTACATTTTGGTTGGAAACTAACTTGGGTTACTAACATTAACTCTTAATTTAGAAAAAGCCTTTATAATAATTGTCTTCATACTATCTAATGTCTTAAAAATAAACCAAAACGAACTGGAGAGGGGTTTAAAAAAGTAAAAACATAAGGAAAAGGCTTTAGGCCTTCAATTTTGGGATAAAAACCAAAATAACAGCCAAGCACTATAACTTCAGAGTTACCCATTTCATTTACGATCTCATTAGAGGACAGATTTACTGTCTGTCAGAAAATAGGTTAAAAAGTTCAAGTTTTTCATTAAATATAACTTTCATTTCCACTCAATCTTTTAAAGACAAGCAGTATTTTAAAAGGCGTAATATAAAGAAAATTCAATACCTACACAGCTTAAAAAATACTGTTACCAACACATTAACTCCCCAACCATGTCCCTTTTTCTTCCTAATATATTGATTTTTAAACAGAGAGGAAGGGAGAGATAGTTAGAAACATCGATGAGAGAGTGTCATTGATCAGCTGCCTCTTGCACACCCCCTACTGGGGATATGCCCGCAACCAAGGTACATGCCCTTGACCAGAATCGAACCCAGGACCCTGCAGTCCCCAAGCCCACGCTCTATCCATTGAGCCAAACCGGTCCCGGCTCTTCCTATAATTTTTCATATTTTCATTACTTATGTATATAGCTAAGCAATAAAGCTTATTATATACATTATATAAATGGTCTCATATTGTATATACCCTCTAACTAGCGGTTCCAACTTTCAGACCTCGAGGGCTACTGCTACTCTTACTTACTTCCTTGGAGCTCCCTTACATTTGAAATATTCATCCAAGTTGATACGTATAATTTAGTTTAACTTTCATTGCCTTTCTAAGATAGGAAATTACTTACATATCCATTTTACTCAGACAGATATTTAGTTGCTCCCCTATTTTTTATTATAAGTGATACTACTCAGAAATTCCTGGACCTTAGTGTGCAAGTCTCTCTCCCAGTTTGGATGCTGGGGTTTGTAACGAGCAGAACTGTTGGACCATAAGGTTGGTACACCTTGAACTTTACCAGAGTGTTGCCAAGTTCAAAACAGACCAATTTCTATTCCAGTCAAGACTGCATAAGATTCCATTACCCACGTGGCTTCAATCCTGGTGTCACCAGGCCCTTTCCCTCTATGCACAGGTTTCAGTGTTACCCAGTGATTTTCCCCGATTCAGTGAAGTTAAAAATCTGTGAGTACCTCACCTTGGGCTGTTGGTTTCTTCTGTTCACCGCTTTTGCCCATTTTTTAGTTGGGTTATTTATCTTGGTCCTAATTCACAGGGGTTCTTACACAGTGAGAATACAAATCCCTTTTTAATCACACCGTGTGGCAATGACCTGTTTGTTTTGCCTCTATGGTTTGTGTTAATGAAGTTCTTAATTTCAACGCCAATCTCTCCCTTGGGGGTTTGTTTTCCTCCTGAGACATCTTCCCCTCAGGTATCTGGAAGGTCCTCTCCCTGCAGAGACAGCACCACACTCAGGAGACCGCCCCACCCTCAGCAGTTCCTCTGCCGGGTGTTCGCGTCATAAACACAGTGTGTGAGGTCACTTGTCATTCTCTGTGAGGGGTCAAGTGCAGTGCCTGACAATCAGCAATGTCAGCAGCCTCTCTGCTGCTCTGTTTTCCATATTTAAATCTTCACTCCAGCAAGGATTTACTTTTGTGATGTAACAGTTTCCATATATGCAAGGCATATAAATACAGGTTCTACCTTTCCTTCCTTGGGTCTGTCTCTATGCCTACAGCACAGTTTTAGTTGCTGTAGCTTTAAAATCTTTATACCGGTGGAGGATGTCAAGACATGATCCCATTTCTTGTTTTTCATGCTTTGCTTTCAGTTCTCAGGCCTTTTTTTTCCATATACATTGAATGAAAGTGACTTCATCAAGTTTTCCAAAATAACTCGCGAATAGCTTGGTAGTGCATTACATTTACATCAGTTGGGAAAACTTACATCCTTCTTTAGTGTTCCGACATGAGTGATTACAGGGTTACAGGCTTGCTTCGCAGGAGGGGGCTTACAGGAGACAGCCAATCAATATTTCTTTCTCTATCAAATCAATGAACTTTTAAAAACCACATTAAATTCACTGCTGGACCTGGTTTGCTAATATCTCGTTTAGTTTCTACATCTATGCTCATGAGACTGGCCTATAATTTACCTTTCTTGTATTGTTCTTGTCTAGTCTGGAAATCAAGGTTATACTGTTCTCAGGAAGACAGATCTACAGAATTCTGTGGAAGGATGGAATCAGTTTTCTTCAGTGATTGGTAGACCTCACTAGTGAAATCATCTGGGCCAGGCATTGTGTTAGTAAGAAGCTTATGTCCACTTCTCTTTTTTTCTCTCTTGAATAATCTTGCTATAGATCTGTTAGGCTTTTTATAAAGAACCAAATTTCAGTTTTTGAAAATCTCCCAAATCTGTTTTAATGTCATTAACCTGTATTAATAAAATGTTTAACTTCCCATGTTATATTTTCTCTGGATTTGGTGAACATGTGTAACCAATTTAAATGTAAACCTTAAGGATGCAGTTGGGTTTTGAAGACCCATCACTTACCGTGCGAGCTGTTATCAATTTCAATGTTTTCAGACATCACGGAGTTGTTGGTGCTGTAGCTCAGCCCGAGAACCATCTGAAGGTCTGAGAGATTAAGCCGAGCTGTTAGCTCACCGCTGCTGTCCCCGACCTACAACCACAACATGTGTGTGTTAGAGGGAGGACAGAGAACGGTGAAGACTAGCTGAAAATGTTGTGAGCTGAATGAAAATAGTTATATTGGAATTCTGAGACTATGAATTACATGGGGTTTTTATAGAAGAAAGAAAAGGGAAGTTTCTAAAACATGACAATAGTATAGCTAATATTATTTTGATCAGCTCTTTAGTTCTCTAAATATTAGATTCCTCTTAATCTGTGATCATCCTATATAATAAAAGACATATGCAAATTGACCAGGTGGTGGACAACTGGTCGCTATAACACACAATCACCTCCCGAGGACAGACACTCAATGCAGGAGCTGCTCCCTGGTGGTCAGTACACTCCCACAGGGAGAGAACCGCTCAGCCAGAAGCTGGGCTCATGAGCTGGTGAGCACACCTCCGTAGCAACACTAAGGATGTCCAACTGACGGTTTAGGCCCACTCCCCTAAGCCAGCAGTTGGACATCCTGCAAAAGGGCACAGGCATGAATGTCGTGCACCAGGCCTCTAGTATTAAATAATAGTGTGCTTCTTCTGTGGCACATTAACTTGGCATCATATGACTTAAATTCCCTTAGAATATTTTATTTCCATACTACAATAGTAGCTAACATTTACTTATTAAGCCAATACTAGAAATTACCTTAGGCATATACTAGTATATATGTGCTTATGCATATATATATATAATTTGGATGTTTTTCCCCACTGATTTTTAGAGAGAGTGGAAGGGGTGGAGACAGAAACAGTGAGGTGAGACATTGATTGGTTGCTTCCCACCCTCGCCCGGACCACCTGGGGCCCAGGGATTGAACCTGCCACCCTTTGGTGCATGGGACAACATTCTGACCACAGACCACTGGCCAGGGCCACTTTACATATATTATCTCATTCTTTTGATGACTTGCAAGCTAGACATCCCCATTTTACAGAAGTGAGGCTCTGAAAGGTTTCTAAGCTCTTAACAGGCAGAGATGGCAGGACTGTAACAGAGCCAGTCCCCACACACTGCTTGTCCGTGGAGAACGGGGTGGTGTGTGTGTAGTCACAGCAGCACAGACCAGCCTTCCAGCTCCTTACCTCTCTCGAAATCTCCAGGTGCTTTTCAGCAAAGTGCATGGCTTGCTCGTGGTTTCCTAGGGCTGTGTATGCGTTTCCCAAGCTCCAGCATGCTCTCCCTTCACCGATTCTACGAAATGATCAAAGCAAATTTGCCGTTACCCAGAGGGGTGAGCATGGTCCCGGCTGCCCAGCAGTAACTGAGGTGCACACAGCGCTCTGCGTTCACGTGGTATTTGATGTAAAAACACCATCTCCATACTGAAGTCACCTCAAATGCCCAGAAAACTCTGAAACCCAGAGTCCAGTGTTAAACGCCTTTTTAAACATGCACTGTATGATAAACCAATCAAGTGGCAGGGGCGGGTCTGTCCCCACCCATGTTCTCTGCGGCCCCGGTGATCATGCAGTCCGTGCATGGGTACCATGAGGGGGGGGAAGGGGGGAAGCACTCGGACAGTGAGAGAGGTTCTCCTCCGTCTTGAGGGGAAACCTACTTTCCTAACGTGCACACACACCCTACAGGCCTGCACATAGATGCTGTCCATTCATTCATTCAGTGAAAAAAGGAATTAGTCACCAACATTAACAATCAGAAGGCTTCATATAAAACTTGGGACTTCTAGCTTCTCTTAAAAAGGGTGGGAGGGCGGGGAGAGACAGGACATAAGGGACCTTCCTTCCTGCTGGCGACAATGAGCTGATGGAGGAGCAGCTGTCCCTGCCACACGGCCGGCTGTGCCGCCCTCAGTCCCAGCCCCACTGATCTGTCAGGAGGGCGGCTGCAGGTGGCAGGACACTGACCTGGTTGCTGACCTGGGTTCAGGGGTCCCTAGGACCAGGCTAACCCCTAACACATGCGAGTCCTTCAGACCCAACTGTATAGAGGATGCTACTGAAACAGGAACTTCCTTAAACTGAAATTTAAAAGGAAACAAGACACTTGACGGAAAACCCGTTCCGCCATCACCACAGGAGCGGGGGCGCTCACCTGTCCTCCAGCTCCTGAGCGATGGCCAGGTGCTTCAGGTGGTAGTCGATGGCCTTGTCGTAGTCCTGGAGCAGCGTGTAGGTGTTCCCCAGGCTGTAGCAGGACTGCGCCTCCACGGCTCTGTCTTTAAGCTGCCGAGCCAACAGCAGCGTCTTTCTAAAGAAGGAATTAATGCTTACATAACCATCACTTTATTTTTGGCCATCATAATAATTAACACTTTTCCACCTGCCTTTAAAGTGACTGTTTTAGAGCTTAAGATCCTGCACTTTCTCCAGAACTCACAGACAAAATGAAAAGATGCCTTTGAAACACAAAAGCAAATCCAGACTTCCGGGCGAGGCGAGAGTCCTGTCACTTTTCCAGATAAAGGAGTAGTGACACGAGAGCAAGTGCTCTGAGTGTGAACCCAGCTTTGGTAACACTAAGAAAACCTTCCCCGTCGCATGCTTCAAGCTTAAATGAAGAGACGTTCACGTCCCCTCTCTTCCAAGCATAGTATGTTGCCTTACATTTATTCGAAATTTAAATACTGAGTTAGGCCATTAGTGACCGACTCATGAAAAATGTTTAGTGCATTTAAAGATTAACCGAACTCCACCCATAGCCTATGGGACCACCACCGAGAAGCCAGGGCAGCAGTCAGAGTGTGGGCCGCACGACTAGACTTTCTGGGTGATCTATTTTATCTGGAAAGAGTGACGTATTTTATTTGGAAGGATATTTCATATTTAGTCGGCCAACAAATATTAACCATTAATTAGTAATTGTTTAAAGTAAGGTGAGATGACATTCTAGCTCTTTAGATGGACCTAAAATAATTTTACCTTTTTAAAAAATAACAAAATATTCAGAGCTCTCTCACACTGGATTCTCTAACAATAAAATACAAATCAATCACTGAGTCTGGCTTATGCAAACTGGATTCTGCCCAAGTCTGTACGGGCCTTAATGCCCACTAATTAGGGGAAACTCCAGACAACCAGAAGCACAGAGCAGGCCGTCCAGGGACAGATCAGAAAGGCCTGCCAAGAGGAGCTGGGGCTGCCCCTCAGGAGGGAGGACCAAAGGCGGGCAGAGAGGTGCCATGGTGGGAAGAGCCCAGCGATTGTGGGAGAATCAAGGGCACGTTTTTGTTACCAGGCTCTCTATTGACCTTTGTGCAAATCAGGTGAAAAATGCATGTAAATATACGTTTCACACATGCTAATAAGCAAGTTAAGAATTTCATTTGAAAAGGTTTAAGGTAAAAAGTAACCATAGAAAGAAAGGGTCATACTGCTGCTGCTAACCTCAGGCACAGCAGAACTCCTTGAGCATCGAGCAGGTACTATGCTAAGAAAGTACCTCACAGTCTCCCACTCAGTCCTCACAACAATCCAAAAGCAAGTGCTTCTGTCGTTTCGGACGAGGACCCCGAAGCTTTGAAGCCCGGGTCCCACCGCCACGGGGCAGCCAGCGCAGGTTCTGAGCCTCCTGTGACCGCTCAGGCCGCACACCTGCTCATCTCACTAAGAAATACCACTCACTTGTAATAGTCAGAGGCCATTTCAAATTCGCCAAGAAATATATACGCATTTCCAAGGTTGCTGTACGCTCTTCTTTCGGCTGCTTTATCCCCAAATTCTTTTGCTATAAGGAGGCGCTGAAAGGGAAAACTCCGATTAGACAGAGCCATACCAAGTAAGGAACAACCTCACCGCAGGGGGTACGGGGGAAGCTGGCTGCAGGGCCGCACTGTACCTGCTCGTGGGCGATGACGGCGTCCCTGAAGTTGCCCAGGAGGTAATGTGTGTTCCCCAGGTTTCCAAAGGCCCGTCCCTGGGCGGCGCGGTCACCCAGAGCGGTCACCAGCGACAGGTTTTCCCTGAGCGAGGGCAGCACGTTGTGAAAAGATAGGATGGGGGGTTTATTAGATTTATACATCTGATAAAGATGTATAAATCATAAAAGTTTTAAAGAAGCTTATAGCCACAGTGTGCCACATTTTAAAGGTGGGTCTATGGTGGAGGGTAGCTGTAGGAACTGGCTGGGGATATTTTACTAAACCATCTGGGGGTTTCTGCCCAGATTCAAGGACGCAATGAGTCTTGAAACCCCTAAGCTAGCAGTCCTATGAGATTCTACTTAGACTAACCAATGGTATTTTTCTGCCACTAGGTGGCGCTGGCCTGCAGTTTAAACAAAAGCTTTTCTGGGGAGACTGATACAACTGTAACCTTTCAGCAATAAGCTGGGTTATTTTTCCTGGCTAGTCCATAATTTTAAACCTTTGCCAAACCTAAGGCTTCCTCTGGGGCAGAGAATGCACAGCAGATCCCCGGCGCGGGGCCCCGGCTGGCAGCACAACTCACTCGTAGAGATCCACCGCGGCCTGCAGAGCGCCGCGCACCTCCTCCGGGAAGTCGCCCGCGTCCTGGGGGCCGGGGCAGCCGAAGCTCTTGCCTTTGGCGTGGTACACGTTGCCCAGGTTGTAGAGGGCTCTCGCCTCGCCCACCTGTGCGGAGCGCAGTGTTACTTCCCTCCTGCACTCCGAGGGCAGGTGGCCCAATGCCTGTCACGTGCATTCATGGCCTGGGCGACACGGCCCAGAGGGGGGGTGCTGGGCGTCCACACAGAACCCAACAGCGGTTCCCTCGGAAGAAGGGCCTCTCGTTGTGCACTTTCCCCTCTGTTTAATGATTTGTGTGTTTCTTCTCTTTTCTATGGATCTTTTTTTTTGGCATTAACTTGACTAAATGATTAAACAGAAGTGTAACACAAACCGGTTTCAGTGAAAATGCTCCCTTTTTACCTTGTCGTTAAGTTCTCTGGAAATATCCAGGTGTCGCTGACAGCACACTACGGCTTCGTCAAAATTTCCAAGAACTTTCAAGGTGTTGCCCAGATTTCCGCTCGCTTTGGCTTCCCCCAGCTGGTCTCCAATAGTCCTGGGGGGGAGAAGGGGGGGCCGGGGAGTAAAGCGCTAAGATCTAATGTGGCCAGAGGACAAGTAACATGCTCACGTGAGAAAGACCCATTAACCTTGAAACCTACTTTGGATAAAAATTTAAAACTTACATTTCTGTACTTTAATTTTCACTCATTTAATTAAACTCTAGGGTCATTTCACTATTATTCATTCATTTAATTAAACTGAGCCTAAAGATACACTTTAAAATGCAATGCTATTTCATTAGAACTCACCACATGAATCCAATTGGTTTTTTAAATTGAATCCCAATATCATGAAAGTGAGCATTTAGGGAGAAAGGCCACTGAAAAGCTTACATCAGTTACCTGGCAAGAGTGAGGTCATGATGGTGGTACTCCAGGGCTTTGGCGTAATCGTGCAGGTAGAAGTAGGCGTTGCCCAGCTGGCTGTAGATGGCGCTGAGGGTTTTCAGGTCCTCGGTTCCAACCTGGACGGCAGCTTCAAAGAAGGACACGCCAGCGCGGCAGTCTCCAGCCTTACACAGGCGCTCCCCCTCCAAGGCCAGCTCCAGGCAAGAGGCTTCCATCCTACAAATCACAGGACAGGCCATCAGGACCGCCATGGCTTCCCTTCCAGTGGCACAATGCCAGCGTGGGTGGTGGCTGCCCTGCTCAGAACAGCTGCCTCCATAACTGAAGTGTCTGTGCGTGACTGATAACACGCTAAGCCGCTATTTATGCAAGAGGTCACCTGCCTATTCAGATGTCTGAGTCTCAGGTCTTTTACATAGAATAGCCAACTATTTCTAAATGCCCCCCCCCCCCCCCGCTCCGAGACACACACACACACACACACACACACACACACACACACAGCCATCCACTGTCCCAAGGAGAGAACCTAAGAGTTCCCTAACCATGGGGAGTTACGGCAGACTTAGGCTTCCGGAGGGAGATGGGTGCCCGAGAAAAGTGAAGTCCTACAGTTCTACTCTTCTCCATCCAGGTTATCTGCTCACCTGTCCATCAACCCCTCCTCCCATCTGTCTTTCTCATACACTCACTCTCCTTCCTTTTCCCACCACCACACAATTACTTGTTCTTAGGAAAATAAAGGAGCAAAATACCTTCATCTACAAGGCACTCACACTGCCATAAGAGAACTAAGTGCCAAGAAGCTTTACATTAGAAAGCAAGGCTTAAAGATTCACAGGAATTCAGTTCACTGAATTTTAAGTCAGAAGAATTAAGTTAACTGTAACTATATCCAGGGAGAAAAAGCAACGATACTTTGGATTCTAATCCTAAACATGAATAGGCATGCTCACCATGTGTTTCTCCGATATCTGTGACTTCTGCTATGCCTACATACTACCTAATCATTCACTTAATGGCTTTCTGTAATTTGCCAATGTCTTTAAAAAGGCACACGTCATTAAAAAAGACCTGGCTCATCCAAAGCAGCACTGTGAAACTGAGTCTGATGTGATACTAATGTTTATTTTCTCATGCACATTAAAACACATATGTAGCTACTAAAACAGAAAAGCAAATAAAACCCCCACGTCCTACAAGTGGCTCACACGCCCCCTTTGGAAAACTGGTCCAGCTTCATTGAGTGAAAGCCACTGGAATTCGCTTTCAGCAAGTCTAACCACGCAGTGGGCTTGGTCCAAAAGGGACAAAAAACAAAACAGGAGAAATAAACATCTGGACCAGGGCAGCGATGCAAAGCCGGCCTCTGGCTCTGCCATGTGGCACCTGGGACAGGCCGGTTTCCAGCTTTACGTCGGGACCGTATTTGTCTTATGATGAGTGAGGCCTGGCTCTCCCTCATTCCTGGATCTCAGCCACAGGCAGGGAAACCTCTGCGGCCACTGTGCTCAGCAGCCAACCACGCCAGCCAGACAGGGACGGGTAGAGCACCGGAGGCAGTGACAGCAGAAAGCTGACGTGTTACATTTATGCCATTTCAAATCACAGGTCTCTTCTTGTCATTCACAAGTGAAAACCGCCTGTCAGAACTATATTTTTGAAAATGAAAGAGTTCATAAAAGAAAAAGTATTTTTGTTTAAGGTTTAGGAGGTTACTGGTAGAGTATTGTGTGTGTGAAGGGAAGTGAGTCAGCAAAGGAGTAATGTGTAAAAATTTGATTTTTATTAAAGGTTCTTTCGCTAGATGAGGTACCTTAACTAGTTGTCTCTAAACACAAACCACTATTTTTCTAAGAATTATCACAGTGGCACAGTTAGAAAATATATTTTTACATATAAAAAATAAATTTTCTCTTCAAATACATTTCATTTTCAAAACTGAGCTAGCAGCTGTTAAAGTGTATATACATTTTTAGGGACACTACACACATACAGCTATTTCACTGCTAGGAAATGTATATATAGTAGCTCCATGCCTGCAAGAAAAAAGCTGTATGAGAAAAACACAGCCCACTTAGGGTGAATGGCCCACCGGCAGGTACTGATTAAGAGTGCCTGCCATCAATCAATGGAATTCCAATGATGGCCCCTATTTCAGGGGGAAGGGGGAGCCCTCACAGCACATCAGCAGCTCAGGGCAAGGAGGCTGCTGCCTGGGAAGTCAGGGAGAGGCAGAACCAGGCAGAACAGAAAAATTAGAAGCTCCTAACGGTGTCCATGTAAAACAGAAGTATTCCTCAAATCAGTGTCATCACCACAAACACTGACCTCCTGGACTTAAACTACACACTGAACCGTCTGTCCAGCTGATGGCGAACAAGATGTGGCTAAGGCTGAGTGGTGTCACAGGAGCTACACATTTTTAACAAGTGTTTTACCTGATTCCCACTGAAAACAGCGACAGCACACTGGCTGTGCAGAGCCCTACAGAACCACTTCGAGAGAAGGCACGTCTGACCCTGCACCTGAGAGCAAGACCCAGCCCTAGGAGCTTCTGGTTAGTTCCGAGACACATTATGGCTCATATATTGTATTAGAAAGAAGCCAATGTTCTGACAAAATCTCCAAGACCTCAATGAAATATAGCTCAGTGCAAAATAGCCAGGGCAGGTCGGTTTATAAATATTTTAGAAGTTCATTAAATAGTAACAGAGAAAGTAATTTCATATCCTCTCGGTCTCTGTGAGAGAATAGAGTTACTTCCTTGTTTACCGGTTGGGTGGAAAACACCCAGAGTAGAAGGCAAACCAGGAAAGCGCCTCTCCATTCACTCACGCCCGTGTCCTTTTTCCTCCCGAAGCCCGGCCAGTTGTGGAAGCACAGAAAGCGCGTTTCTAGTGACTATAAACAACCCCTGCTGCTGGCTGACCATCACAGCGCAGTCCTCACTGACTGCACAGCCTCACGTCATTTTCATTCTTTCCATTTTAATATTATTTTTAACTTTGCTTCCATGCTAGGTTTTTTCTTTACCTCCTTAATTTTGGTTTCTTGAGTTCACAGTATATCAATGAAAGCCAACAGATGAGATCATTGATGCTGCCTCATTTTAGAAGATTTAATGCCAATTATGTCCAAATCTGAGTCTCCCCGCCGAGGGTTGACATACTACTCAAGAATAAAGAGCCAGGCTTGAGACTCAGAGCCAGCAGCCTGCTCTGCAGCGGCTCCGGCTCAGTCTCTGTGGTTGTGAGTCTCTCCAGACCTCAGCCCCCCTGTGTGCTCACTGGGCACCAACATTTTCCATGGCCAGTCCTGGCTTGGCCCCACAATTTCCATCCAGACCATTTGCCACATATATCTAGTGATCTGTTTTGTAGAAGGGAAAAGCAGGGCAAAATCATTTAGTTTTAAAAGTGATTTTCTTACATATTATATCAAATTCAATTCTCAAATTAACCCTGAGTAGGCCTTACAGAGGGAACTGCCAGTGTAAGTGAGCTGCTTAGGCGCATGCAGAGGCAAAGCTGAGTAACGAAATCCCATCTGTCTCCGAATCCAGCTCTTTCCACCACTCCACATTACCGCAAACTATTCTCAGAAAACTTTTTTGTTAAAAAAAAATAAAAAATCCGCACCTGAGGATATGCTTTTATTAATTTTAGACAGAAAAGGTGGAGGGAGGAAGGCAGGGAGGGGGATAGAAGAGATAGAGGAGGGAGAGAGGGAAAGAGGGAGAGAGAGAGAAAGAGAGAGAACGTGCGCGTGAGGAGAACATCAATGAAAGAAAGACACATCCCTGTGAGAGAGACACATTTATCAGCTGCCTCCTGCATAACCCCCTACCAAGGATGGAGCACAAAACAAGGCATGTGCCCTGATGGGATAGTGAACCAGCCACCTTTCAATGCACAGGACACGCCCACCCAACTGAGCCACACCAGCCAAGATAGGAAAGAGTATTATTAATAACTACATTTACCCAGCAAAGTTGAAGGCTTCAACACCAAAAGTGTATTCTTTTACAACATACATGCAATAATCTAACTTCTTACAATCCTAAAAAGTATTGAAATGCTTATGATTCCTAGTAACAACTATAAACAAAGTTTCTCAAACAAATACAAAACTAGAGAAACTAGCATGATGAACTGCTATACTCATCTTTCAACATCACTGATTACCAATATGTGACATATTATCCATATGTTTCACCTCTACTTCCATCCTCTCTCTCCAATCCCAGATTCTTTTGAAGTACATTCCAGAAAGCATGGATTTCATTTCTAAATATGTTGGTATTTATCTCTAAAAAATAAGGAGTCATTTTCAAAAAAATATAATCATAATACTACTTATCACGCCTAAAATATGAACAGTAATTGTTTAAGATTAAAGTTTATAACTAATTCCATCTCAACTACCAACCTCCATTTCTCTCTGCCTTCACCATTCCATCACAAAGTATGTCATAAACCCTCTACTACCTCTCAGGAAGTTTCGCAGTGTCCACAGAACTAGTTCATGTCAAAATGACAAACTCCAGGGGGAGATGACCCTCCACAGTAAAAGACCCAGAGGGTAAAACACTCCGAGGCGCTAAGTGTTTAGGAGAGAAGAATAGCACTAGGCCAGGACACAAATCTCACCTGCAATCACACAACAATGCGACTGACATACAGAATGCTGACCTAGAGCACTGATGAAGCCAGGGGTCTGCTGAGTACTTTCTTACTAAAAGCAGTTGCAGGGTTTCAGGTGTCTTTGGGGAAGTCCTATGCATAACCACGTTTGACCTATGCTGTCATGGGAAAGGACAGACCAAGGCCCTCCCTACCAGCAGAGGCACATCCGCTCCTCACCCACTGCTCTTGCGGAGTGAAGGGGACACCACTCTTTGAAACCTTTAGCAGACAGATGAACATCTATCTCACTACGTTCCTCTGATGGCCGTGTCCAGGGAAGCTTACTGGACATTCCATCAAGTGGACTGATCCTGAGGCCATGTGAGGCATGGCTGCCCCAGGGAGCTAATGGCCAAAGAAAAGAGTAGTCGGGGAACACAAACATGCTTATGGAAACAGACACATGGCATCTGGCACACAAGCCTTCCGTTTTCTTTTATTTGAAACTTTTATATTTTTAACAAAAATGTCCTCACACACACTGTACAAACTTCCTTGCACCATGGCCTAGCACAGTGGCCGGCAAACTGCCGCTCGTGAGAGCTGCATGTGGCTCACGAGCCACAGTTTGCCGCTCTGTTGACTAATGAGTTTGCCGAACTCTGGGATAGGGGCTTAATCACAAGGAACAACAACAGCCTATAATTATTGGAATCGAGAGTCTAGGTCAGTGGTCGGCAAACTCATTAGTCAACAGAGCAGCAAACCCCTGCTCTCTTGTTGCTTGCGAGCCACATGTGGCTTGCGAACCGCTGTTTACTAACCATGGCCCTAGCATGAGCCATCTGCTCCAAGACCCCTGCTTCCTAACTGTGTTAACACAGCAGAGACCATTACTCATTAAGAGATTTTGAATGTCCATTGCTGTATGTTCTCATATTATTTAACATTAACTTGGAACCGTTTCTTTTTCTGCGTTTTTAAAAAATATATTTTCACTGATTTCAGAAAGAGGAAAGGATAGAGGCATAGGAACATCAGTGATGAGAGAGAATCATTGATCGGCCACCTCCAGCAAGTTTCCTACTGGGGATTGAGCCTGCAATCCGGGCATGTGCCCTGACCTGGAATCGAACCGTGACCTCCTGACTCATGACTGAGCCACACTTGCTGAGCAACTTGGAACAGTTTTGATAGAGAAGTTATTAGTATCTAGCCACCTTATTAAAAATTATGTCTTCCATTCTAATATTTATGTTTGTGTTTATTTTACAGTTTAGTGCAATGACCAGAACTTCCAGAATAAATGTTAAATAATAATGAAGCAGGCATTCTTGCTTTGTTTCCAAATGTACAGAAATGCCATTAGTATTTTTTCACAAAATATTAAACTGGTTACTAGCTTATCATGTTTAGAAAAGTACTCACACATTTCAATATTAATTCCCATTTTTAAAAAAGCTCATTTAGAATGATCACCATTTAAAATTTGTAACACAAAACTAGGTCATTCAGCTGACCACAGTACAAAATCCATCTTTTACTGCCAAAGATTTAGAAATATTTTTCAATTTTATATTTGCATCACTGAGTTATAGAAATATAAAGTAACTATTGATAAACTATTCCACAGAACAACAAAAACAAACTATATAGTATATAATTGGTCTCTATAACATTTTCCTACAGAAAGGGAAAAAAAACAACCACAACAAAAGAAAAACTTTGTTTATAGGAGATACTAACTATGGCTGGTGTATTTTGAATATTTTCTAAGTTAAATCTGAAATGATCAGAGTTAAATACACATTTAAATAAGGATTAAAAACCACCCAGGAAGAAAGCAGAAGTCTTACCTGTAACGAACATGAAAAGAATGGTCTTCCCTCATGCTCATCAAATTTTCCTCCATCGAGTCATATTATAAGCTGAGTACAATATGAAATTATCTTATTCTGTGCCAATCCAGTCCTGAACCATGGAGAACTGCTGCAGCACAGTGTCCGGTTAGCACGGGAATGACCTGGTGTTAATGCACGCTAAGCTCCTGCTTCTTCTTTAGTGACTGAAAGGAGGTCAGTGTCAGGCAGCTTAAAGATTCACTGTGTCCCAATCCTGGATCTCTGGCCCTTTCAGCAGCACTTCAGCAACATTTCTGCAAAAGGAATACAAATGCTTTGCTGGAAGTCCTGTTTTCAAAGAGTAACCTGCAGAGACCCCAAGCTGCACCTAGTCACACAGGGCAGGTCACACAGTGCCTGGCACAGCTGCCCTCAGGCCGAGAGAGTAGCAGCCACGTGACTGTCGCCAGGAGCTTCTAAATAAGGGTGCGAGAGAGGCTTATTTCAGAGCTTCTCTCAAGTTCAATTTTAAACTGGTTTGAAATACAATTGTATGTCATATTTTCTTTTATAAATAAGTATAGGATACGTATGACATTATCTAAAAATAAAAGTATGGTATTTTAAGCGTTTAAAAACTGCTATTAACATGTAAAATGAAAATTCAATAATTATTTGAATAAACTGATTCTAAACTCTGCAAATTTCTTTCTTCAAAGAAGATATTTGTGTTGACGTTTAGGCTATACTTGTATTCATTTGCCCTCAAAGTATATTGTATTTGAACTCATTAAGGCCTTTAAAATGTTTTTATTACTATTGAGTAGGTACAATGAAAGTTATGAACTACGTGTATGAACACTTACATACCACCACTAGGATAAAGAACGGTATCACTGCCTTTTTCTTTTCTACTTCTTTCCCCTCTCAGGTGGTGCAAGCATAAAAAAACGGACACTGAGAGCAATGGAACAGGACAGAGAGCCCAGAAATAAATCCACGCCTATCTGCTCAATTAATCTATGACAAAGAAGGCAAGAATGTACAGTGGGGAAAGACAGTCTCTTCAATAAGTGCTGTTGGGAAAACCAGACAAAAGCAAAAGAATAAAATTGGATCAGCTTCTTACACCACATACAAGAATAAACTCAAAACAGGTTAGAGACTTAAATGAAGACTCGCAACCCTGAAACTCCTAGAAGAAAACACAGAGGCAGTAAACTCTGTGACATCATTCTTAGTGATTTTTATTTTGCAAAAATGTCTCCTTGGGCAAGGGAAACAACAGGAAAAATAAACAAATGAGGCTACATCAAAATAAAAGGTTTTACACAGCGAAGGAAACCATCAACAAAAGAAGAAGACAACTTTCTGAAAGGGAGTAGGTAGATATTTGCCAGTGACACATCCAATAAGGGGTCAATATCCACAAAGATAAGAACCCTCATACAACTTAAACACCAGAAAAACCAAACAATCCGATTTTAAAATGGGCAAAGGAACAGAATAGACATTTCTCCAGAGAGGACATACAGATGCCAACACACATGTGAAAAGATGCTCAACATCACTAATCATCAGAGAGAAGTAATTTTGTTACTGTTAATCCTCATGCAAGGATATTTTTTCCATTGATTTTTAGAGAGAGTGAAAGGGAGGGGGAAGACAGGCAGAGAAACATTGATATGGGAGACACACATCAATTAGTTGTCTCTCTTACACACACCAACTGAGGCTGGAATCAAACCTGCAACCGAAGTATGTGCCCTTGACCAGAATCGAACCCAAGACCCTCAGTCTGCAGGCTGAACAAACCGAGTTAGAGATGCAAATTAAAACTGCAATGAGATATCACCTCACACCTGTCAGAATGCTATCATCAATAAATCAACAAACAACAAGTGTTGGCAGAGATGTGGAAAAAAGGGAGCCCTCCTACACTGCTGGTGGGAATGCAGACTGGTGCAGCCTCTGTGGAAAACACTGTTGATGGGATTGTAAATTGGTGCAGCCATATGGAAAACAGTATGGAGATTCCTAAAATAATTAAAAAATAGGGCGCAGCTGGTGGAGGGGTCAATGGGTGAAAAAGGGGACATCTGTAATACTTTCAACAATAAAGATAAATTAAAAAACAAACAAAATTAAAACTAGAACTTCCACATGACCCAACAATTCTACTTCTAGGTATTTAAATGAAGAAATAAAAAACACTAATTAAGAAATATATATGTATACACACACACATACATATACATGCACCCCTACATGCACTGCAGCATCACTGGTAATAGACAGGATCTGGAACCTAGATATCCATCAATAAATAAATGGATAAAGAAGATATGGTATATATCCACAATGGAATATTATTCAGCCATTGAAAACAATAAAATGTTGCCATTTGGGACAACGGGAATGGACTTCTTAAAGGGTATTGTGCTAAGTGAAATAAATTAAAGACAAATATCACATGATCTCATTTATATGTGTAATCTAAAATAAATGAATAAATAAAACAGACTCATAGAGAAGATGATGGTTACCAAAGAGGAGGGAGTAAGGAGAGGGGGATTTTAAATAAAAATAATAAAAATTAAAGAAAAAAGGCTGTATAAAGGACCATTTTAAAAATAAAACAAGCAAGAAGACAAGAATGCTATTCACCATTTTACTAAGACAATTTATAATATGGTTTAACTGTACTAAAAAAAAAGTATCCTCAAAAAAATTCACTCTTACATTACAACCTCCATAATGAACAGTTCTTATCTTAAATTACTCATTGAACAAACAAGCAATTCTTGATTCAATGATTCCTGTTGTAAGGACTCTGACCAATTTAGTAACAATGTGTTCATTCATCCTCTGCTTTGCATGGAGTTAACAAATCCACCTCATACTTTAACACATACTTTATATCTTAGTGTTACATCTATTCTCTCTATGAGTGTTACTAGTTTAATACTAATAAAATGGGCAACAGATATTAAATTATGAATGGTTCATCAGAATAAGAAAATGTAATGACACAACCAGGAAATGGATTGGAAATTAAAAGTTTTGAAAGAATATTAAGAAACCATCAAGTTTAACCTCCAACCTCAATTAAGACTTATACCCTATAATTTGTAAGGAACACACAGATCTTTGATAGCATCTCCCAGGTTTTAAAGAACAATGCTCCAAAACCTCACTGCTAATAAAACTGTTAGCTCGAAGCACTTTTGGTCTGACTGTAGAGAACTAAAGAGAAAGCAATAATCTCTTCCACACCTTAGAAACGGACAGAACCACATAGAAAGATCAACGGGTGCGTAACTCTGACTGTCTCACAGGTAACTACCTGGTTAGAAATAAAAAAGGCAGACTGGCCGGCTGGACTTCCGGGCACTGTCCAAGGTACACAGCCAGTGTCAACAAGTCTTAGGCCTGCTGTACTCCATGGACAATGACACATTTGCAAACTAGGCGATGGGGGAGAGGGAAGGGACAGTTACATTTGTATCTTTCGTACTACTTTCAACTCATCTACACTCCTTCTGATTGCAACTCAAATGTCCGTAACTTTTGTTTAGATTCTTTCATTTAAGTACGTACCTCTAAAAACTGGGAACACACATCAGACAAAAAATATGACTGACTTTTCTTGCCTTTAGATGAGATCATTTAAATTTGTTTAAACTTCTCTTATCCTAATAATTCCTTCTAAGGTACAATACTCAAAGTCTCCAAATCCCTTTCAGTTGTAATGTTTCAAGTCAGATAAAGTAGCTCTTTTTCAATGAGTGTGGCTGAATATTGAGAATCAAGAATATTCAGGGTGTCCCCCCAAAAAATGTATACACACTTTAATAGCCGATAACTCACTCAAATTTTCACTCCTTTTTAGGTTTAACTGATTTGAAATAATGAAGCCAGACTAAGCTTTGAACAGAGGACATTTATCCTAAAGTGCCCCCTGGACATTTTTTATGGGTGATACAAAAAAAATAAAGTATACAGTTCAAAACCAGCAACAGATGATGAATTGAAGTATTAATACTCAGAAAAATGATTCTTGATGTTTGCAATTCCATTGCTTTGTGTTATCAGCAGTGCCTGGACCAGAACAGTCACCAGTTTGAAAATAGGCATTTCAGTAGATTCTTTTACATTTTGCAAATGAACTATATGTTAATAAACACAAATTTTATAATCATTAGAAGTGCGTATACATTTTTAGGGACACCCTGTATTTTAAAATGAAATTATTTTCTATTAGAATCCAGGGTACAGCATATAGTAACAAATGCACATCATAGTAAGAATAGAGTAATAAAGTAGGATGCTTAGGCCCTGGCTGGTTTGGCTCAGTGGATAGAGGGTTGGCCTGCAGACTGAAGGGTCCCAGGTTCGATTTTGGTCAGGGGCACATGCCTGGATTGCGGGCTTGGTCTCCAGTAAGGGGCATCAGGAGACAGCCAATCAATGATTCCCTCTCATCACTGATGTTTCTCTCCCTCTCTCCTCTCTCAATTCAATATATATATATATATATATATATATATATATATATATATATATATATATTAAAGAGGATGCCCAAATACCCACTTCTGAATTAACTAAAATAACTATCCTAGCAGACTGGTTATCTTCTGTCAACTTACCTATCTAGAAATAAACTTACTTTTAGATAGACTAAAATATGGCCTGTTGCAGAATCCAAATCTCTATTTCCAGTTACATGTTATCTGAAAGACATAGTGGAAAGATATGACAGTGTAAGGAACAGCCAGTGCAAAATCCAGAGCAGGAAGGTAAAAGTTTACACAGAAATCTGAGAAGACACAGGAGAAAGCACAGGGGCAGTAAACAAAGTCCAACAAGGACAAAGGACAAAGTCAGACGTGATCTTAGTGTGGAGGCGACAAGGAGCCACTTAGAGGCAAGAAACTTTATTCTGACTCAGAACAGATGCCTGATGTGGGAAATCAGTCGGAAGAAAGCCAGGTCAGGCCCAAGAAGGGGTAGGTGCTTGATTCCGTAGTTAGTTAAGAGCACCTGGAGAACAGGGAAACAGTGCCCA